TGCTGTGGCCTGCGTTGTGCAGGAGGTCAGACTAGAAGATCATAATGGTACCTTCTGACCTTAAAGTCTATGAGTCTATTCTTGCCCTGACAGGTTGCTGAATAACATCCACATTTTGCTCCAGGTCATCCAATCCATGGAAAGACAGGGAAGGGAAATGGCTGCAGTGGAGCCAGTGACCTTTGAGGAGGTGGCTGTGTATTTCTCAGAGGAGGAATGGGCTCTGCTGGACCCGGGTCAGAGAGCCCTCTACAGGGATGTGATGCAGGAGAATTATGAGACTGTGACCTCGCTGGGTAAGGATTCCTGTCCTCTCTGGTATTAGAAGCTGCGGGAGGGGGGCTGAGAAGAAGCTGGGTTGTTTTCTGTGCAGGGTTCTTCAATGATTCCCCCCGCCCATGCTTCAGGGGTCAGTCTGTATAGTCCCCAGCTCCTGTGTGTGAAAGACCGTCACTTCCACATGCCCTCACACAGGACAGCAGAGTCAGGGATACAACAGTGGTGCTACCCTTCCATAACCAAGGTTTTCAAGTGAGACAAACTCACTCTCTCTTCACCCTTCCTGAGGTTACTTCCGTCCTCTTGGGCCTCTGAGCACTTTGTGACCTCAGAGCTGGACAAGTGTCTCAAGTCATGACTCAGCTTTGCCTAAGTGGCCAGATTTTCAAATGAGCTTTATCTGCATCTTGCCCACGTTCCGCCTCAACCAGTTGTTTTAGCAGGAGGTACCAAGGTGTACTTCACTCTTCTACTAGTCAGGAAGGGCAAGGACCAGTGTCATGGGGCTGTGGCCAGTTTCTGCTAGTGCTTCTTTCTTTTGCCAGTGTGCTGAATTCTTGCAAAGAGGCTGTTGTTCCTGGCGGGGGTTGATTTCTGTGAAATTATGATTTCTCTCAGTGAGAGTCATTGGGCTCTGCGCTGACTGAGGGCTTATGAAGTACCAGTAATTTAATATCTGGGTGTACTATTTGTGGAACATCACTAGAGTAGAAAAATGTGAGGAGGGGTCTTGTGTTTCAGGCACTGCACTTGGAATCAGAAGACTTAGGTTCAGTTTCATGCACTACTACACACTTGAAGCTCTTGTAAGTCTCTGAGGCTGTGACTTTCAAAGATACCCAAGGGAGTTAGACATCCAGCCCCTGCTAACTGAGTTGTCTGGCCACTTTGAAACTCACAGTTTTAACCTCTCTGGTACCACAAGAATGAGCTGAGGTCTGGAAAATCTGCCTTTGAATAAGAGCTTTGCTTCACTACCGTGCTAAATCAGTACCCCTGCGATCAATGCTCTCCCGTTGACATAATTACTTCTCCTCAATGAGAGGTGGAAGCTATGTCGGCAGGAGAGCATAGACACTGCATTAGGTTGATTGTAAGTTACATTGCTCAGCGGGCTGGGTTTTTCACACCCCTGAGCAATGTAACTTACATCAACTTAAGCCGTCGTGTAGACAAGACTTGAGAGACTACAGAGCTCAGTCTATTAAGTTCATCCAGAAGAGATGTTTTGAATACATAGGTGCCTACATGAAGAGAAGATTTCTGATACCAGAGGGCTCCTTAATCTATCAGCCAAAGTCAGAATGTGATTCAATGAGTAGAAGCTGAAGATGGGTGAATTCAGGCCAGTCATAGTCAATGGAGTACATTACACAAGAGTGTGGTGGAGTCTTCATCATTTGGATGTCTCTTTCTAATAAATATAGTCTAGCTCAACCACAAGATATGGGATTGATGGAGCAATCTTTGGATGAGGTTCTCTGGCCTGTGTTTGACACAGGAAGTCAGACTAGATGTTCATAATATTCCTGTCTAGCCTGTACAGCTAAAAACATATGTTTGCAGATCTGTACATTAGTTGGAAAGCCAGTCAGTCTTGTCTCTGGTCTCAAGGCCCAATTCAGCAAACCATCACTAGTCACCAAGCACCTATACAGGTGCTTAATTTCATGAAAGTCAATGGAACTCAAGCACTAAGTTTAAGAGATTTGCTTGACTGGGCACCTGGGAGATTATGGGGATGCAGTAGTTGAATTTGTTAGGATGGAACCTCTTTTGCATCTAGGGAAGGTATGACTTGAGATCAGCAGAACAAGGACAATGGACTTCAAAAAAGCAGACTTAGAGAATTAGTAGGTATGGTTCCCTGGGAAGAAAATCTAAGCAAAAAAGGACTTCAAGAGAGCTGATACTTTCTCAAAGAGACAATATTTAAGGCACAGCAGCAAACTATCCTGATGTGAAGAAATGGTAGGAAAAATAGTCAGCGGCCAATATGGCTGCATCAGGAGATTTTTCAATAACCTGAAAATTGAAAGGGAATCCCACCAAAGTGGATATCTGGAGAGATTGCAAAGGATGGATATGAGCGAGTAGTAGAAGCATGTAGGGACACGACTGGAAAGGCTAGGGCACCAAACGTGTTGCACATAGCAAAGGATGTAAAAGGCAATAAGAGGTTCTTTAAATACATTAGGAACTAGAGAAAGATGAAGGAAAATGTTTTTCTCTACTTGGCGGGGAAGGAGAGCTAATAAAGGACAACATATTTTGCTTCAGTCTTGGCTAAAAAAGTGAATTGTGACCAGATGTTTACCACATCTGCTATTAAGAAGGAAGGCACACAAGCCAGAATAGGAAAAGAACAGGTTAAAAAATATTCTGTTAGATTTATTCAAGTTGTCAGGGCCTGACAAAATTCACCCCCAGGTACTTAACCAACTAGATGAAGCAATCTTGAATGCAGCAGCAATTTCCTTTCAGAACTTATTGAGGTGAGTGAGGTCCTAGAGGACTGGAGCAGGGCAAACATGGTACCTATCTTTAAAAGGGGAACAAAGAGGACCTTGGGAATTATAGATGAGTCAACCTAACTTTGATACCTGGAAAGATACTGAACCAAATTATAACAGTCAATTTGTAAGCACCTAGAGGATAATGAGATAATAAATAGTAGCCACCATGTATTTGTCAAAAACAAATCATGCCAAACTAACATAATATCCTTCTTTGACAGGGTTACTGGCTGAGTGGGTGGGAGGAAGCACTAGACATGATTTATCTTAATTTTAGTAAAGCTTTTGAAACAGTCCTATATGACATTCTCATAAGTGAACTAGGGAACTGTGGTACAGTACTACTTCTGAGAAGGAACTCTGAGTTATAGTGGATCACAAATTGAATACAAGTCAAAAATGTGATGTAGTTGTGAAAAAGGCTAATATCCTGAGATGTATCAACAGGAGTGTCATATGTAAGACCCAGGAGGTAACTGTCCTGATCTACTCAGCAGTGGGGAAGTCTCAGCTGGAGGACTGTTTCCAGTCCTGGGTGCCACATTTTAAGTAAGAAGTGGACAAATTAAAGGGAGTCCAGAGGAGAGCAACAAAAATGATAAAAGTTTCAGAAAACATGAGCTATGAGTAAGGCTAAGATTTTGTCATAGACATTTTTAGTATAAATTATGGGCAATAAAGAAGAATTCATGGAAGCTGGAGACCTGTCCATGATTTTACTAAAAATATCCGTGACAAAATGGGGAGGGAGAAGGCTCCAGCACCCATCGCTGCTGGGGCTCTGGAATCCCCCACTGCCCACGGTGGCTGGACAGCTTTGGGGGCCTGCACTGTTCCTGACAGCTTGGAGCTCCAGGGTCCCCCCGCCAGCCACGGCTCGGAGCTCCGTGGCCCCCGTCACCCACGGCGGCACAGAGCTCCAGGGGCCCCCACTGCCTGCGATGGCCGTGAACTGTGGGGTTCCCCTGCCACCCATGGCAGCTTGGATCTCCCCCATCTGCAGTGGCCACCTGGATCTGAGCCACCACGGGCAGTGGGGGGACCCCACAGCTCCAAGCCACTGCGGGCTGAAGTCATGGAGGTCTCTGAAAGTCACAGATTCCGTGACTTCAGTGACCTCCATGACAAAATCATAGCCTTAGACATAATGAGACACAGTCCCCAGCCCAATAAGCTCACAAGGTATCTTCCAGATCTGGCTTGTGTTAGGGAGCGACTTGTGTGTGTTGGGAGAGGGTGGTATATTTGGCAGGGATGGAGACTTGATTGTACCCCATATGTCTTGAGAGCAAAACAATTCTGCTCAGCTCCCTAGAGAAATATGTTATGGCAATTCCCTAGGCAGAGTGGATGAACCCTTGGTCTAGACCAGCGTGTCAAGGGGTCTGACTGATTTATAGCCCAATTCCTATGGCGTGGGGGTGGGGAGAGGAAGGAGCCTTTCTGGGTTGCTTATTCAGCTCCTGGATCTGGAAGTAGTAACAGCACTCACCTTAATGAACAAGATCAGCACTTATTTCCTTGTCCTCCCCCGGATGCAGGATTTCCAGTTTCCAAACCCAGTGTGACCTCCTGGCTGGAACGAGAGGAAAAACTGTGGGTCCCCAGTCTCCAGGAATGGGAGATCTGGAGAGATGCCTATACAGGTGAGGAATCAGCTACACTGATTCAGAAACCAATTATTGTATCCTCATGGCAGATGTTCCTTAGACATTTTCATCAAGCCTGTCTGGCCCTTCAGCCCCTGCTTTCATCTATATTTGAAGGATAGGTCCCCTCCTCTCTCTCCTCTGGGGCAGGGTTTGGGGGTGGGTAGGGTTCAGCTGCTGCTATTTCAGTCTCCCCCGCAGTTATTTTGGTTTGTTCTGCCCTTTACTGATCCCCTTTCTGAGGTTCCCTTCCCCCCCGGCACAGGGAATGACTCGTATCTGGATTCTCTTTGTCATAGCAGGTGATAGGATGGTGAATGAGAACAAGAAGGAGAATCAGGAATATCCTGAGCAATTGGAACCACACAGGACATCAGGAAGATCTGAAGGGGAGGCTTCCCAGATTCCTGAGCATGGAGATGCTGCCCCTCTGGCCTGCACTGACTTTTGCATGCAAGAAAACCAGCTGGGGCAGAGACAGTGTAAATCCTCTGACCAGAAAATATGGGTTAAGAAAAACAAAGACATGGTTCAACAGAGAATCCCCACTGGTAAGACACCCTACACATGCGGTGACTGTAGAAAAAGTTTCCGGTGCAGATCACAACTTACTAGACACCAGAGAACCCATACAGGAGAGAGACCCTACACGTGCCTGGACTGTGGGAAAAGATTCAAACAGAGCTCAGCCCTAATTACACATCGTACAGTCCACGAACGAAAGAAGACCTATAACTGCCTTGACTGTGGGAAGAGCTTCAGTCGGAGCTCAACCCTTATTCAGCATCAAAGAATCCACACAGGAGAGAAACCTTATGAATGCAGTGAGTGTGGGAAAAGCTTCCGTGTGAGCTCAAATCTTCTATCACATCAGAGAACCCACACGGGGGAGAAACCCTATGAATGCCCTACTTGCGGGAAAAGCTTCATTCAGAGCTCAAACCTTCTATCACATCAGAGAACCCATACAGGAGAGAGACCCTACCAATGCAATGAGTGTGGGAAAAGCTTCAGTCAAAGTTCGTCGCTTATTAAGCATCAGAGAATTCACACAGGAGAGAAACCCTATAGCTGCCCGGACTGTGGGAAAAGCTTCAGTTACAGTGTAGAACTCAATGATCATCAGAGAACCCATACAGGGGAGAGACCCTACAAATGCAATGAGTGTGGGAAAAGCTTTAGTTGCCTCTCACACCTTCGATCACATCATACAACCCACACAGGAGAGAAACCGTATAACTGCCCTGAATGTGGGAACAGCTTCACTCGCAGGTCAACCCTTACTACTCACCAGAGGATCCACACAGGGGAGAAACCCTTTAAGTGCTCCGAATGTGGAAAAAGCTTCCGTGCAAGCTCAGCCCTTTCTGAACATCAAAGAATCCACAGTGGAGAGAGACCCTACAAGTGTCTTCACTGTGGGAAAAGTTTCTATAACAACTCAGCCCTTTCTAATCACCAGAGATCTCACACAGGTGAGAGACCTTACACATGCAATGAGTGTGGGAAAAGCTTTAGAAGCAGCTCACACCTTCTGTCACATAAGAGACTCCACAGTGGTGAGAAACCCTATAAGTGCACTGACTGTGGGAAAGACTTCCGGCACAGCTCAAACCTCAGTACACATAAGAGAATCCACATAGGACACACACCCTAGAAATGTCCTGGCTAGGATTGGGCCAAGTGAAGGACACCTTTCCCAATTCCCATGAATCTTAAAGAGTCAGGCCAGGCTGGAGTGGCCATGTAACTAGGACATGAAATGTTTATTAAAGCAGAAAATGAAATCATCTTCCTGAGACAGAGCCATGAAGAGCAAGAGGCTGAGATAAGATTTGCACATTGTGACAGCATTTGATTATGACTTATCAAGAAACTGTGAACATCCTCCTTCATCTCCCAGTTTTACTTTTGATGTTATCACAGGGATAGTCAATTATTTTTGTCAAGGTCCACATTTCTTGGTCAAGGTATAGTCAAGGTTCAGGCTTCAGAGAAAATAATAAAAAACAACAATAATGATAATCATAAGTAAATAAAAAGATTTGGGGGCCCATTGAAAAGTTTCTGGCGGTCCAGATTTGGCCCATGGTTGACCTATTGACTACCCCCACCTAGAACCAGCTTCATCTGATAGAATGTAACTTCTAATTTATACTTGATAGTGTTTTAGACCTGGATGCTCCAAGGGACTGAGGCGCTGTGACACTGAGGATTGCAACGCCTAATTTTTAGGCACCTAGAAAATCACCGGAACGACACTGGGATCCACAAAGCCTGAGTTAGCAGCCTAGACTCCATAGAAAATGAATGGGGTGAGAGAGGCATTTTAGATTGTGATTCATAAAGGCCAGCAGGTGGGGAGCCACCAAAGCTAGCCAATGGGACATGCCAATGAAAGTGGTGTGGTCTAAGCCCCATCCCTCTCTCAGAGATAGGCTCCTCTTTGGTCTTGCAGTTCATGATGGGTCATGTTCTGTTAGGCATGTTCAGAGGCCATGTAACTCAGCACAAAACAACGGGGGATTGAGGAGGAGAAAGACAACCTTCTTCGTAACCTTTAGCACAGATGTGGAAGACCCTTAGTTCAAGTCCCCCCTCCACCTGAATTTGAACATGGATCTGCCAACTCTCAGAGGATTACCCTAGCCACAGAGCTAGTCTGGCTGTGGGAGTCAGTCTATCCCAGTAAACAGTTCCACTGTATATAAATACTTAGTCACTGGGCCAGAGAGAGAGAGTGAGACTAACTCAATAGTCTTGTGGTGAGGACACCCACCTGTCAGGTGGTAACCTTGTCTCCAGTTCCTTTGCTCTAATGACTCCTTACGTTGACATTATCCTAACTTGCACCATGAAGAAGAAGACTGCACGCTGAACAATGGAACGAAGGATGAGGAATTCCACTTACTAGTGGAAGTGCAGAAAGATTTCAATGCTTATTGCTAAAATTCTATAGGGAATTTCTGTGCTTCAAAGGAAGTCAGAATTTGGCCTTGGAGAGAATAATTATTGTTTTCCTAGAACACAGAACCCATTGGAGTTCAGTTCTATTCCATAAAACCAGACTCTTGGGCTCTTAGGTTTATATATGATTTTGGTATTTTCCAGTTAAGAGCACCTAACAACTTACATCCAACTATAAAATATTTCCTAATTTCAAATGGTGCAAAAGAAAAGAATTTCACTATCAGTAGTGATTAAAAAAATCAAGCCTTAAAGCAGTTTAAGATTGGGGGAAATACTCCCAACAGCATAACTGGGCTAATAGAATTTGAAAATGACAACATTGTAACTAAGCCTTTGTCTACACTAGCACTTTTGTCAGCAAAAATTTTGTGGGTCGGGGGTGTGAAAAAAACACACCCCTGACCGACATAAGTCTCACCGACAGACATGCTTGTATGGACAGCACTATGTCGGTGGAGATGCTCTCCCACCGACGTAGCTACCACCGCTCGTTGGGGGTGGTTTAATTATGTTGGCAGGAAAGCTCTTTCCTGACGGCATTGACTGTCTATACAGGAGACTTTACAGCAGTGCAGCTGCTGCAGTACAGCTGGGCCGCTGTAAGGTCCGTAGTGTAGGCATAGACTAAAACTGAGCTGGTGCTGATTAAACTGCATGCTTTCCGCTGTAGCTGCCAGAGTTATTCTTCACACCTTGTGTGTGTGATGGTGATGTCACCTCACTTAGTTTACTGCTTAATAGAGCTACCCTTCAAATCTTTTTGATTTGATGAGGACATAACTAAAGTTCAACTGTTCTTATTGTGTTATCATATCTTTATGGAAATTCATTGATTATTTTTTGTTTGCTTTCAGCTCAGTTCCTAACTGTAACTGCTACTGAGAACTTGTAACTTTGTTGTTCACTGTTCTACTCTGTCCTGTATTTTACACTTAAACCTTGTGACTGTTCTGTTTTTACAGGTGTGAGTGACAATTACTTGCAAGTCCTTTGGTCTCTCACCCTTGTATCATTACTTTGTATGTGTGAGTGAGGAAAGCTGTCTTCTAACTTCAGAATCTCACTACAATCTTTATTTGTGTGTGTTCTAAACTTCAGAATACTTTTATGCTAATTTCAGTTGTGTTGTGTATTTTTAACTACAGAGTAATATAATGTGTTAATACCTCACGCTACACAGTAGTCTCATTCCAACCTTGGTTTATGAATTTAACTAGTTCCTATTTTCTTTGTCTACTTTAAATACCAAAAGCAGGGTACTTTATGATAGTTCTCTTTCTATATATGAACGTTAGTGTTTTTCTGTGGAATTATCTTTAACAATCTTTTACCTATTAACTCAAACACCAAAATCTCTCCCTGCAGTACACTGTCTGCCTATCAACTCTCTAAGAACACTCCCTAAACCTGCCTGATTAACTTTAATTTGAAAACTTTGATTACTCAAATTGCTTTCTGATCTTTCATACTTATAAAATTGCCTATTAATTCCATAAAATCTGAGCTAATCTTCTCTGTTTGCACTGTTGCAAGGGACTGAGCTAGAAGACCTCTGGAGGTCCCTTCCAGTCCTATGATTTTTGTACCCCAGCTTTTGTATGTTTCATTGCAACCATTTCTAGCTAGAAACATATCTAAGCAATGCTGAATTTTGAGCTATAATAATTATATACATTTGAATTTGCCTTCAGAATGATGCTTAGCTTCACAAAGTTACCTTCTTAATACAGAAGTAAAAAGTCATTGTTTTGCTAGCTTTTGTAAAATTTACACTATTTTCAATTTGATTGTCCTATCCAATTTATCTAGTTTTGTCCAAATATGTTTAGTTTAAAAGATTTAATATCAAATTAATTAGTTTTAATCTAGTTATGTCATTGAGTTAATATTTGTCTATCTGATAATATTTGTCTACTTGTTGAATTCTGTTAATAATGCTTAGCTACTAGTGAATTTTAATTAAGTGAATATCATTGAGTTAAATGCCCATAGATGTTTCAGTTTTATACTCAGTTTTATAACACTAATCCATTCTATATAGTTAACCAAACTTGTTTTAATTTCTTTTCTGTTTTAGAATTTCAAGTTTAGTTAAGAGGTTGTTTTAATAGTTACTACATTTTATCAGCCAATTTATTTACTTTTTTTTTTTAACCTGGTGAATCTCATTTGCATAATCCTTGTTCATTCAATTGCTTGTTGGTTCCTTCTCTTATTTTTGCTTACTTAAATATGTGTTTCTTTATTTAAAGTCAATTTCAATTGTTTATTTTGGGACATCCCTTCGTGTATAGAAAAAAGAATCCTTGGTAAATTTATATGCGGTTACTTCCTGAGTGCAGTCTGATTAATAACCATAATAAATAATTACATTTGTTGGTCTGATTTTCCTGAACTCGACATATGAGAAGCAAGTAATTGATGATTACATTAATTTTCTCCCAATTATGATTTTTGATAATTATTTGGTAATTTTATTTTGAAAATTACCTGTTATCCAATATATTTAGCTTACCCTCTGCATCCCTGCTAATGAACCATTGTTCTCTACACTTGGACATGAGAAAGGTGCTATATAGCTATACCCCAAGTAGCTGCAGAACTGTAGTGGAGTTGTCATTCGGAAGACTGAAGGGAAGGAGGAGAAACCTACTGACAAAGCTAGAGACTGCTGAGCAATGCCTTTCTCTTGTGATAAGTGCTTGGTGTGTTCTGCACAACATCTGTGAGAGCAGATGACTGGGAAGTGGAGGTGGAGGGACTTTCTGGATCTTATGAACAGCCAGACAGGGGGCCTTTACAAGGTGACCCAAGTGGTCAGAGACACAGGGTCAGGGATATGTTGTGCGCCTACTTTGATGGCAGAGTGTAGTGGTAGAAAATGAATGTGCTTTAACTAAGGAAATGAATTCAGTGACTCTGTAAAGATTTTATTAATAATTGATTTTGTGGAGGGAGCTGTACCTCAGTGAAATTTTTCAGCTGAGTTGTATATGATAAAAAAATGTATCCATTTAAAACAACACAGGGCAAATTTCAAACCAATGGGCATGTGGCAGAACATACCCAAAGTGATGAGTGAACGCATGGCTATGCTGGTGGGCTCACAAAAAGGTGTAGGTGGAAACTGTTCTTGTCTACGTGGGAGGAGTGGAGTGGGCAGGGCCTGCCATTTGAGAGAGTGAAAGGGGGTCCCAGTATCCTGAATTCTTGTCCCTTGTGTTCTTGTAGCACTGTGGAGACAGGCCCGCTGATTGGGGGAGAGGGGGACAAAGGAGACACTTGCCCAGGGGCCTGGGGTCCCCCGGCTGCTGCCGGCAGTGCAGCAGGGCTAAGGCAGGCTTCCTGCCCGCCCTTGCTCTGCACCACCCTCAGAAGCGGCTGGCATGTCCTTGCGGCCCCTGGGGAGGGGTTCTCTGCACGCTGCCCCTGCCCCGGGAACTGCAGCCAACGGGATCTGCGGGGGTGGTGCCTGCTGGCAGCAGCACGTGGAGACCCCCTGGGCCCCCCACCTAGGAGCTGCTGCCAGAGGGGATGTGCCAGTCGCTTTCGGGAGCTAGCTGAGGTAAGCGCTGACCCCGTGACCCTCTCCTGCACCCCAAACTCCTGCCCCCACCTACAGCCCACACCCAAACTCCCTCCCAGAGCCCGCACCCCCTCCCGCACCCAAATTCCCTCGCAGAGCCTGCACCCTACAACTCCGACACTTCAACCCCCTGCCCCTGGTGGGGGAGAGCGAGCAATGGAGAGAGGAAGGATGGAGTGAACAGGAGGCAGGAGCGTGGGCTCAGGGAAGGGGCGGGGCAAGGGTCTTTGGGTTTGTGCAATTAGACAGTTGGCAACCCTACTGGGTGGGTATGTGGAAATCCTGGCTGTGCCGGAAGAGCATGCCCAGCAGCACAGCCAGCAGCTTGCTGGGCACCAGCACCGCCCAAATGTCAGGTGGATTGCGTCCACGCAGGCGCGGCTTGTGTGTGCATGGGAGCCCATTGACTGTGCTGCCCTAGGACCCAGAATTGCTGTCAGCAGGCCTGGCTGGAGATTTCTTTGGTGCAACACTGAGCCATGTCTTAGGAATGACGCTTCTCCTGCATGTGCTCTGCCAGGTGCTCCTAGATCCTGGCATTCTGCTGTCACGTATTCACATGGACTGGATGTGCTTCTCCCCCCAGAGGGCAAGGCAGTCCAGGACCACCAGATGGGACTACACAGAAGCAGGGGAAATGGCTATTATAATGGGTATGTGATTGCCTATGTGAGCTCTCCACAAGTAGGACTCATAAAGGGGTGCACATGGCTATGAGCCAGCATTTAAATAGGGAGATGTCCTCTGGTGCAGATCACCCTGGACCAGTAGTGGGCACAGAGTTCAACACGTAGACTCACATGGGTGTGAAGCAATGCAATGTGGGATAGCAGGGATGTGTTATTCCTTGACTTTAGCAAAGCTTTTGATACGGTCTTCCACAATATTCTTGCCGGCAAGTTAAAGAAGTATGGACTGGATGAATGGACTTTAAGGTGGATAGAAAGCTGGCTAGATCGTCGGGCTCAGTGGGTAGTGATCTATGACTCCATGTCTAGTTGGCAGCCGGTATCAAGCAGAGTGCCTCAAGGGTCGGTCCTGGGGCCGATTGGGTTCAATATCTTCATTAAAGATCTGGAGGATGGCGTGGACTGCACGCTCAGCAAGTTTGCAGATGACACCAAACTGGGAGGAGTGGTAGATACGTTGGAGGGTAGGGATAGCATACAGGGACCTAGACAAATTAGAGGATTGGGCCAAAAGAAATCTGGTGAGGTTCAACAAGGACAAGTGCAGAGTCCTGCACTTAGGACGGAAGAATCCCATGCACTGCTACAGACTAGGGACCGAATGGCTAGGCAGCAGTTCTGCAGAAAAGGACCTAGGGGTTACAGTGGATGAGAAGCTAGATATGAGTCGACAGTGTGCCCTTGTTGCCAAGAAGGCTAACGGCATTTTGGGCTGTATAAGTAGGGGCATTGCCAGCATATCGAGGGACGTGATCATTCCCCTCTATTCGATCTTGGTGAGGCCTCATCTGGAGTACTGTGTCCAGTTTTGGGCCCCACACTACAAGAAGGATATGGGAAAAAATTGGAAAGAGTCCAGCGGAGGGCAACAAATATGATTAGGGGGCTGGAGCACATGACTTATGAGGAGAGGCTGAGGGAACTGGGATTGTTTAGTCTGCAGAAGAGAAGAATGAGGGGGGATTTGATAGCTGCTTTCAACTACCTGAAAGGGGTGTTACCGAAATATTGGGTTTGTTTAGCTGAGAGCTAATAACAGCCAGACAGGGATAAGGAAGAGATTGCTTTATTTTACAGAAGAAAGGAGAGCTTTGCATTTTAGTACAAAAACTTTAATTTATATAAAAAACTAAAGTTTTTTTATACACACTTAAACACAGGCCCTGGTTGTGTTAACATTTGATTGGTGGTTAACAAATCCTGCATTTTTGCTATTTGGTTAGTGAGAACCGGTTTGGGACCAGCTTTTACTGCCTTAAGGCAGAGAAGGTAAGACAGTTTAAAAGTTTAGGCTACTGTGTATGTGAGGTGTTTTTTTTTTTTTTTTAAAGGCTGCTGGCTACCATAAAGGTTGCTAGCTGTTAGGGGAGGGGTTGCTGCTGACTGTTACAGTTCCCCCTTCGGGCCTGACAAATTTAAATTGTCAGGCCCGTAGCGCAACTTGCGATTAAGCTGGAGGGAAAGATACTGTGTTTTTTTACGGACAGCAGAGCTCTTAGTAACAGCATTACACAAACATTTTGCACATTGTAACATTACTTAAATGACACACAGAAAATAATTTACTTGACAATTTTTTGGAAAAGCCCGTAAACCATGACCTAAGGTTTGGGAGGAGGTTTTTAAAACTAAAGGTATGATTAAGGGATATAGCATGAAAAACAACAGTAGCATTTTTAATAGCTTGCAAATTTTTTTTAATTAAGCCAGAGCGATTAATATAAAAACAGCATTTTTTTTTTAATGCGAGCACAAGTTTTTTTTATTTTAGCATTTATGGCATTTAACACACGCTTATTTTGCAGCGTTATTTTTGCTATTTTATTAATTTTTTGTTGTAATTTTTGAAAAGCATTTAAGGAGGCATTAGCTGCTTTTTTAAGCTTTGCAGAAATATTTATTATTGTCCTTTTTAACTTTGCTATTTTTAGCCCAGGAATAAGCGCATGAACAAAGGAATGAAACCCCGTTTGCCTGACTACTAGGGGATTTTTGGCACGTTTAACTTGAGCCCCTTTTAAGGGGGTGAAGAGCTTGTGAGAATAGGTTTTTAGGTTGAGGATTTGGCGTGAGTTTAGCATGGTGTTTACCTGAACATTTGGTACTATTTTGGCTACATTATACCGGCCGCGCCAACCCGGCGGGAGGGCTTTGTAAGCATTATGGCCACAGATGAAATACAGGCCAGGAGTTTGTAAATAAAGGGTGAGAGCACTTTTTGCTACTTGGTGGCGCTAATTTACCCTGACATTTTGATGCTTGGAGTTGCCAACTATTTGGCCCCGGCACTGCCAGTGGGACACATTTAAGTGTCCTAGGGCATGGGTGTTGTCTAGGATGCCCTCACAATATGTAACAGCAAATAGATGTGAGGTAAAGCTTACTAGCGCTTTTTGGCACTTAGAAATTTTGTTAAGGGATGAGTGAGGTGACAAATACCAGAAGAAATGTTTATATAATATGTATGTGTTTTATTTATGGGACTTAACGGAAGGAATGAAGGAATTTACTTTTTTTGATAACGCTTGCCTGTTAATGCTGCAATATAGGCCTTCTGAAACTGACAGGGAGGTTTTTGGGCATTTTTAACAGTTTTTAAGGGGTAAAAGGTTTTATTTTTAATACTAAACTGAAGGGTTTGATTACAGGCTTTTAGGGGGAGGTAACCCATTTTTATTTTGGTTTTGTTAGTACCTTTGAAACATAGGGCCAACTTGTATTTGATTTTAAGAATATTAAAGAGAGGGACCCCCTTGGCCTTTTAACTATAATGCCAAACTTTAGACCTTTTTTTATACTTATTGGACTGGTACTTTTTATTTTATTATTATTTAGTTTTTTGTACTACCTGTAGGGAGAGTGCTTTGGAGAGATTTACAGGCACAGCCCACAGTTTTATTTTTTTTTTAGAATGAGTTTGGTGACACAACTAGCAGTCAGATAAGTGCTTTAATGTGGCCAGTTGCTGAAGGGGTTTGGCTGCTGGGTGCGGGTTGGCTTGTATAAGGGGCAGGCTTAAAAATAATAGCCACCGCAGCACCGTTTGCAAATCTATAGTTACAACGTTTTAGGATTTTGCTTGTTGGAACAAAAGTTTTAGTTTTTTGAGAGGTTTAATTTTTTAGGTGTTGTTTGCTTTTGGCTTTTTTGGGTTGCGGTGGGAAGAGCTGGTGGGGCTTTTTTGAAGTTTGGTGTTGTTTGCTTTTGGCCCCGGCCTAGTGGCTAACTTGACCCGGGTGTGGTGGATTTAGGTATTTTGTTTTTTTATTTGAATGGCAGTGTGGGAGGTAAGAAGGACTTGAAAAGGACCAGCCCACCGGGGTTGGAGAGGCTTGTTTTTTTTACTTTTTTACATAGACCCAATTTTTTGGCTTGATTTGGTGAGCAGGTACATTAGCAGGTAGGGACTGAAATTGAGCTGCATACCTGTGAAGAGACATGAGAGTGTTTTGGAGGGAAACAACGTATTTGGTTAACTTTTTGTTTTTTTAAGTGGCTAAATTGGTTACAGGTTTTGGGTTAGCAAATTTGATGTATGGTTTGCCAAATAAAAGTGAAAAAGTGAGAGAGCAAGCCGGCCCCTAGGGGCAGTTTGAACTGCCAAGAGGGCCAAAGGTAGAGCCTGAAGCCATTTTAACCCAGTTTGTGCACACAATTTGGAGAGCTTAAGCTTTAAAGTTTGGTTTATTTTTTTTATTTGTTTAGAAGATGGTGGTTTTTAAGGGGTATGTAGAAGCCAGGTAATACCTAGGGCCTTAACAATGTGTTGAATAACCTGAGCGGTGAAATGAGTTTTTTTTATTAGAGTTAATAGACCTAGGAGGACCAAACCTAGGAATGACATGGTTTAATAAGGTTTTTTTTACTTTTAAGGCAGTTGCTTGTTTAGTTGGGAATGCTTTGGTTTAGCCAGTTAGTTGGCATACAATTACAAGGAGGTACTTGTAGCTTTGGCACTTGGGCATTTTTGAGTAGTTGATTTGGAGCGGTTTAAAGGACGTGTATGCCCATAACCTTGCTTTGGGGGGGCCTTTTGGGTTTTTTTTTTTTTTTTGATTGAATTTTGCACAAATGTTACAGGTGGAAAGGACTTGTTTGGCTTTTTGGAATACCCCAGGGGCATACCAAAGTTATTTACGGTAGCTGCCATAGCCTTTGCTTTACCGTGTGTTTTTTGGTGTAGTTTAAGTAGGGCAGGCCGCAAAGCCGCTTGGGGCAGGGCCCTTTTTTTATTAGGTAGTTGTCATTTCCCCCTTGGTGTTTTAGTGACCCCTACGTTTTTCCAGCGACTAACCTCTGATGGTTTAGGGACAAAAGGGACTGGTGTTGGTGAGGGAGAGGACGTGAGCACCATTTGGTTGGCAACATAAGATTGTAGAGAGGCTGCTTTTGATGCTGTATTAGCTAGTTGGTTTTTACGGATGGTGGGATTGGTTTTTTTTTTTTTTTGATGAGCCCGAACATGGATGATGGCAACCTCGGATGGCAGTTGTATGGCTTTTAATAGTTTTAGGATTAAGGGCTTATGTGCTATTTTAGTGCTATTGGAGGTAATAAACCCACGCTTTGCCCAGAGTTGGCCCGTGGCATGGCAAACGCCAAAGGCATAATTTGAGTTAGTATATATGTTTACAGACTGACCTGCTGCCAGCTTACATGCTTGGGTGAGGGCTACCAATTTTGCCGCCTGGGCTGAGGTGGAGGGTTTTAGAGGGGCAGACTGTAATACCTTAAACTGGGTAGTTACTGCAAATTTAGGTATTTGTTGGCCCTTTACGACCCGTGCTGAGCCATTTGTATACAGCTTTAGTTTAGCATTTGGAATGGGCACATTTGAAAGATTTGGCTGAGGGTTTTTTCACTACAAAAGATAGATTTTAAGGGATAGCAAACAGATTAAAGCAGATTACCTAGCAAACAAACAAAACACACAAACTAAACTTAATATACTAAACAGATTGGATATGAATATCAAATTCTCACCCTAAATGATTACAGGCAAGTCTCATCTTACACGGGGGTTCCATTCCGCGGTTAGCACGTAAAGCGAAAACCGCATATAGTCAAAATTACATTGAGTTGAATGGCAGGCGGAATCGCC